TAACTTGTAAAGGAGAAAAAGGCCTGGACAATGACACTCAAGACCTAAAATATTTTTATATGTTACGACAATTCATTTGTAGGTTACAAATAGCAATATCCTTTACAATGAAAAAAAAGAGAGAGAACAAAAACATACAAAACTGGATTGCTCTAACCTCGAGCATTTGAAGATTCTCCGGAATCTGCCTCCCTAGTCCTTGCGGCGCCAGCAGACTCCCGGTATGCTGACTCCTCTCTGCTCCCCGAACCTGAGAGAAGCTTCCCAAATTTCTTCATGTTTTGCTTCTTAGGATCCACTAGTTTGTGCTTCACAAACCTCTCGATCGTGAGAGAAGTATTGACTGCAATATGGCGAGAAAAACCCTAGGCATACGACTCCCTACTGACCGTCAAAGAGATTTTTTTTCTTTCAGCTCCTTATTTTCCTTCAGAAGGGTCGCCACCTCTTCTTCATGTTGTTGGGAATCTATTTGTCGCCCCTCGAGGGAAAGCTTCAATCTCTCTTCCACCATATAGAGTTTTCGCTTTAACTTCCAAACCCTCAAGGCAGATTACCCGACGTCCTCTTCGGCTTTGTCCAAGAAGAGAGCCTGGAAGTGCGAAGCCTACCAGGCAAGGGCATGATAACAGCCGACTAAATGGAACATGATCTTTTTATCTATCGACCTTAAGTTCCTCTTGAAAGCATGAGATCAGAACATGTCAATCAGAATAGAGGGATAGTCTTCATTCAGCAGGTTGGCAGGGAACCACTCAATCTCTCTCTGTCAATGAGAGCATAGTGATCGCTCGTCCAGACACCATCTCCTTAATCGTGCGAGAATGATCACTTGGACGGAACCACCCCCTCTTGCACGGGAGGAGTGGGCAAGTCAACATCGGGGACAATAGTCTTTCCTTCCCTCCGGGGGGGCGTCGCTCTCCGTCCGATCCGCGACCTCTCTTCCGTCCTCCGATTCGGTCTCAATGGAGATTGGACGAGAGGCACTACTCGTCTCACTTAGCTCTGGCGGAGCTATGAACAATGCCTCCCCTGCCGCCACCAGAACTTTTCTAGTCGACAGGCGCATTGATGAGACTTCAGATTCAGGAGGCTAGGAGAACAGGAAGTGTCCCCCTTGCTCTCTTTCGAAGAAACTGGCAAATTACACAAAGGTCATGAAAATGCATTTCACACACGAGCGAACAAAAGGATAAGTAATACAAACATTCATCATTTCTCTCGGCCAACCTGATTTTATCGGACAGACCGCGAGCTCTGTCGAATGAGGAAGGACCACCTCTCCCATGAGGCCTCTTCAAACCCATCCCTCCCCAACAGCTCTCTCCTGACCAACCTCCTTGTCTTCAGCCAATCTCCACAGATCCTCGGTCATAGTATTAACACCATTCAGACAATTTATTTGTTCGATCACTTTGGGTTCGAGGTACTAAAACAAAGAGAGGTGCTAACACTCAATCAACGCCCTGTGGTTTCGAACTTGCTCGGGCAGGGTCTTTACTTTTCTTCACCTCACAATCAGAGGGGAACTGCGGATCCTCCATCCTTCGCACACGAGGCGACGAACTTCGTCTTCCAGTCTATCATCTTATTCTTAAGCCCCAACAATTGATTCTTGGTGCCGGCGACAAATTGAATGTAACCATCACGACCAATTCGGAAGGAGAAAAAATGACTGAAGAGTTCAATCAATCACGGGATCTTCAACCTTCGACATAAGAGCACATAGGTCATGATGGCGACAATTGAGTTTCAAAGGACCTGAGCAAGGATGTTGCCATAGCAGTTGAAGATCGAACACAACTCTCGACTAAAAGGTAGCCAAGAACTTATCTTAAAATGATCAATGCCAGAAGAGAAGTCATCTGTAGTCTGTATGGTTGTCGGCTGTTGGCCGGTCACAGGAGAATTTTGGGTTCCAGAACACGATGATTCTGGATCTCTTATACTTCAGCGGCAAAAAAGACTGGAAGCTCTGTAGCAGGAATCGAACTGAATAACCCCTGGGAGTATTTTCGAACCATGGAGTCTATGACGCTAGACAGGAATGAAGAAGAGGATGACGAAACCTAGAGAGAAAAAAAAAAGACTGTGCGACCCGGGGAAAGAAGATGAATGAAGAAAGAAAAAAAAACATGAGCCTTAGTAATTGCACGACCACATATGTATATGTACATGTGAGAAAGAATACATTTGAAATCTAAACGTCGCCGATGTGACTGATACGACGAAACTACACGTCATCCAAGTATAGTATTACAAGAAGTAGAAAAATATTTTATTTTATTGCATTTATTACTTATTTATATACAAAAAGATAGAAAGTCGCGTTGAACACTTGGTTACAGCCGAGGAAGGAAAAATCGGACTAAGTGATCGTTCGCGGCTTTGCCCGAGACAAACCCTCGATGGCGAAGCTGCTCGTACATAAACTCGCCGCCCAGCCTGAAATTGTCATTATGGTTGTCCTTAGGCTGAGTGGTGAGGGCCTCTCTAATAGCCAACAGCTTCGAACACAGACATGTAACTTCTTCGTTGCTAGCAAGCATCTTAACCTCAAAAGCCATGAGTTCCTCGCGCAATCCAATAACTTCCCTCTCCATCTGGTCGACCCTCTCAAGAATGTCAGTGATCCTTCTTTTGTCGTCTCCTCAAGGGTGCCCAATGAAACGAAGAAAACACTCCTTCATCTCAGCAAGGCGGAGTATCAGTTAGAAGACACGACACCCTCTAATCGTCTCCTCTTCCCCTGAGACACCCAAGAAAACTTGATGGCCCGCACCCTGGCCTCCAGCACCCGATCCTCGTCATCACGCTCAGCACCTTGCTCCGGAGCACTCAGCTCCGCCATATCTATTCCTCCCGAGACAACCTGCGACCGCAACTTGGTTCACCAGTGTCGCGTCATCTTCAAGACCAACATTGGTATCTGCCGATACAGAATCAACAGTCAGGACATCACTTGCTGAAATGAGAGATGCAAAAAGCTATTTAAACTACATACCAAGAATCCTCCCCCATTCAGACGTGGTCTAAAGAGAAAATGTCCTCAGTGGCTTTTTATGGTCCTCCACCTTCATAATAGAAATAGTTTCTAGTCTGTTGAAGCCATGTCTCGGCCTCAGCCGCCGTTGCCTCTAAACTCCTTTGGGGGAACTGTAGCCCCCGCAACCACCTGGATGGGCAATCTTTCTCCCGCAGCAGAAACACGCACCCTTGGCGAGTGTTCCGTATGATGGTCATCAGGACGACCTCCAATCTGTCCTACAACCCTCGCTTGAGGAGGGTCCGCAAGAAAATCGGAAGAACCGGGCCGACTCTCACAATCGTTGGCTCCAGACTTGAGCACAGCTCTCTTCCTACTCACCCCTTCCGCGGATACCTCACCCGTTGCTTTGCGATTCACGTTTAACTGACGAGCCTGAACCCGCATATCACGCATAACTTTGAGGAGGACACTCTTATTAGAAGGCGAAGCTATTTCGCCAGATATCGCGAAAAACACATTCATACGTGTCAAAAAATTCTCTTAGCCTCATGTATTGAAGAACTTTTAAGAAGCAATAAAATCGGAGAACTAAATATGTACACATGAAAATGTGTCAGCACGAATCTCAAAAAGATGGGCGGCTCAGGAAGATGCAGATAATCGAGGGTAGCCATTGGCGATCATTTCTAGATGAGTATTGGCGCAAGAAGCACTTTATCTGAACGATCGACAGAAGACTTCAAGAGAAAATCTCATATGACGGTAATCAACCTTCGATACGATCGACTGGGAGTACTCTTTTGGTCTTTATATGTCGATCGAATCAAGGTTTATCAGGCGATCATTAACCTTCATTAATCAAATCGGTCTTCGGCCTTATTATATGCAAATAATTCTGTAATTATCAAAAATCTCCTTTGAAAAGTTAATAATGAGGGGACTAATATATATAATTTTGGAATATTGAGACCTGCGTATAAATAGAGGTCTATTTCATAAATAAATAATTCCATTTTTTGTCGGTTTACTACTGCTTTCTCCCTCTTAATCACTTCTTATAGAACGTTCCATTCATTGGGTTTGTTTTCAGGATATTTTTGGATTCAACAATACCATTAGTGAACATAAATGGCCATAATGATCAACAACCAAATGATTCTAACCCAGTATCTTGACTAATATTATTCTGCAAAAGGAACGTTTATCTACATATAGGAGTCAATGCTGCTTTATCTTTCTTTTTTTCTTTTTTCTTTATTTTTGACAGTTAGGTGCTTGGGGGTTGATCACCGCAATAGGAACGTTTTTGTTTTTGTTTTTGTTATTTTATTTTATTTTTTCTTTTCTATTGATTTTGTGAATCTTTTGAACTGGTTCCTCCCTGTCTTAATCAGGTTAAAATGGCTAAAGATTTTCTATATAAAGCATCTCTCTGGATAAAATGCTCTACGATTCAGTCAAATTTGAGCTTTTTTCAGGATATTTACACTATGCTTCAGCTGAAATATATTATTATATTCTGAAGGCTACAAAAATCAATTTCCGGGAGTTTTTTATTAACTTCGTGCTTCCATTATGGCCCTATCGGAATGCAATTACTATAATTGACAAACTGGCCCCTGGAGCCCCTTATGGTTCATCAATATTAAAATGCCTTATCAAAAACTGACTTCATGTCAGTCTGTCACTTGCTGTATTAATACCAATTGATACTCAAAATATTAGAATTTATTGTCTCATCTTTTGGCTCACTTTTTAAACTTTCCCCTAACGTTTTAATATAAATTATCTTTAAATCATACAGAACTTATGATTATTTTACCAAATGCGACTTCATGTCAGTCACTTGCTGTATTAATACCAATTGATACTCAAATTATTAGAATTTATTATCTTATCTTTTGGCTCACTTTTTAAACTTTCCCCTAACGTTCTAATAGAAATTATCTTTAAATCATACAGAACGTATGATTATTTTACCAACTGAAAAATTCTACTTATTTCGCAGACCCTCAGCTCCCTAGCTCTTGTATTTGCTCTCCATCACTTCAAGCCAACTCCGCTCTATGTCATGGATGAGATTGATGCCGCCTTAGGTCCCTGTTTTTTAACTCTCCTCATCTTCTACTCACTTCCTTCATGATTCTGCAATCTTATAAATATATTCAACTCATCACAGACTTCAAAAACGTTTCCATTGTCGGCCACTATGTCAAAGATCGCACAAGGGATGCTCAGTTTATAATCATAAGGTATGTTCTTCCTTCCAGTGGCTTTTTTTTTTTTTTTATAATCTTTAACCATGGTTTAATTTTATATGTTTGGCGCAGTTTGAGGAACAATATGTTTGAGCTTGCGGACAGACTTGTCGGCATTTATAAGACTGACAACTGCACTAAAAGCATCACTATAAATCCCAAGAGCTTTGCTGCAATCTGATCCCAGACAGGCGTTTTTGAGAGCTTTCTGTGTATTATATCACAAGCTTCATTTAAGTGGAGACATGGCGCACATTCACTGCAAGAATTTTTGGTATTTTTTTATGTAATTATGTAATCTAGAAATTAAAGTTTGTAGTTGGTGGCTGGTAACAGTGACATGAAAGAGTTTTCAGTTTTATAGTTGGGTTTCATGAAAATGTATGGTATATTCTATTTTTTAAAGGAAAAGTTGCGCATTTCCAATTAATTCCTATGTTTAATGTATTCTAGAAATTAAAGTCTGTAGTTGGTTGCTGGTACACGAAAGAGTCTTCAGTTTTATAGTTGGGTTTCATGAAAATGTATGGTATATTCTATTTTTTAAAGGAAAAGTTGCGCATTTCCAATTAATTCCTATGTTTTTACATGTCTAAACACCTAAACTTTAATGTTCACATATGCATCACCATACCCTATTGCTTTGAAAGGTGCATTTCACTTTTTAAAAGTTGCTTTGTTGTGACATGAAAGATTTGGGTGGTTTTTCAGGTGTTATACATGTAAATATATGAGTGTTGAGTGGTATGTTGTAATATCAAATTCCATAATAAATAATTAATTATCATTCCAATAGTTTATCATATTCAAATATTACATAATTGCCAGCTATTTAAATTTTGTTTGGTCACTATATATGTAATGTTTTGGCCCCCAGTCTACTGCAGTTTGCATTATTTTTGGAGTGAGTGCCCAGCTGTGTATCATTAAAGTAGAAATGATCATGCCATCTTAGTAGCTATTATATATATATATATATATATTTAATTGCTCGTATAGGTTATATGAAATGGGGTGAAGCAGCCTACTGTGCTCCCGTGAGGCTGTGGCACAGTGTGAAGAAAAATGCACAGGCGATTCCAATGACTTCCTCTTTGCTCGAAAAAGTTTTCAGCTTTCTATTGATGTTTGCAGGCAATTATTAATAGAGTAATGCTTCGTTTAAGATAAAAGATAGAAAATAAATTAATGATTTGAGCCATTTTAAATTTTATTTTTCCCTGGTTACTGTGAAATAAATAAAAAATAATATATATGCGCTACGTACTCAGATAAGTTGGTCAGGCATTTGTTTGTCAGTTGGAAGTCTCTTCTGATCTGCACTTCGATTTTTTCCTAATTATAGAGTGTGGTACTCAAATTTTTAGATGTATGAGGGATGAATAGAGACTATTATATGAGTTTCTAGCCATCTCTAGTCTGTCTAACAAAGTATCATCTTAAGGCTAATTGTATCAGAGGGGATTCAAGCCACCGACTTTAGGGCTCCTATACCGTGGATGTCAACTAATAAACCGGGGAATATGGCACGCTTGCACACACACATTTATTCTTTGCTTGAATTTGAGTCGAGATTTGAATTAACAGAACATTAAAATCTTATTTAAGCTTATTTGTTTTTTTTTAATTGAGTTGTAGCCATTATTGAGCTCAGGTCAAGTATATATAATCATGTAATTGGTGTCGAGCGTATTAGTTTATCAATTTATGATTATTAACAAGAATTAGTATAATTGACTAATTATTGATATTTTCTTTGTAAAATTCAAATATTTATTAATTGTGTTAGGTGTGGTATGATAGACCCTACCTTAACAAATATATATATCTTATCCCACAGGCGGGAAAGGGTTACTAGCTTTCCACATTACAACGTCGACTGATGGCGTCTAGTAAGCGGTGGTTGACGGAGGTGAGCGGTGCCTAACAACAGTCGATGTCGGTCGGCGGCAGTTGACAGAGGTCAGCGGTGATCGACAGCGTTCAACGGTGGCCGACGGTGGTCGACAAAGGTTGGCGGTCGTTGTCTACGGTCAGTGGTGGTCGACGGCGATCGACGATGGCATCGACCATGGCGAGGACGATCTTGGACATGAGCTCTTTCTCAAAGCCTCAAGTTCTCTTTTAAGCCTCCCCTTTTCATGTGAGGGGTGGGCCTCTATTTCTAGTGTTTTGAGTGCAATTAATGCAGAAATATAAACCATTTTGATCGGACAGCCCGGAGAGCTTCCCTTGATCAGATGATGTTTGATGGAAATTTGAGTGTCTTAACGAAGTCGGAATTGCGCAATCTTGGGCTCGTTGGATTCATCTTTTCGAGACGCTCCATTCAACTATAAACTCGCTAAATTTGACATCCGTTTGACCTTTTAAAATGCCTCCGGAAATCCTATAGTAGTGGTTTAATGACTTGATTTGAGTCTGATTTGACCCGGATTGGACTAACTTTTATATCATTAGGTCCGTCTCATCGAGCCGATCAGTTTGACTATAATTTTGCTGAAATCAGAGCTTCAGATGACTCTTGTTCAAAGTTTGAATGTTTCTTGTTCAAAAAATTGCATTGAGATTCGTGTTGGTTGATGGAAATTTGTTGGTGGCGTATCAGATATAATAAGCCATCTCTTGTTGGGCTACTTTTTTAACTACAAATAAGTATGCCCAAGACCAAAAATAAACAAAACAATAATCACATTTTTTTTGTGATTCTATTTGGTGATATAGCCTTCATTATTATATAGTTAAGTACATGAAGTTGTGTATCGTCTATCATGACTCTTTGGTTGACAGAGTTTACAAGACCCCTGAGGTCATGAGTTCGATCCCGCCTATATGTGGGATGAAACTCTTAGGCACATGAGGTTGGTCAGGAGCCTCGTATAATAGCCTCTGCCCTATCATAAAAAAAAAAAAACCCCGCTTGAAATTTTGGTACAATAAACAAAGCAATGATCACATTATTTTAAATTTTCTTTCGAGAAATTAGGAATTAATTACATTGTTTATTTTATTTTTAAAATGCTAGCAATAGTGGTATTTTTGTTAAAAATTTGAGGGGTATGAATGTAAATTTTGAAAGTTTAGGTGCTATATATGTAAATATATAAGAATTGTATCTTATGTATGTAAATGCCCCATGATTTTGTCTATTGTAATTTCTCTTTTTCTTTTTCTTTTCTTGTTTTTTTTTTTTTTTTTTTAAAATTAGGTGGCTTTTTCGATTATTGTAATACGCAAAACAAAAATGTTTGGTAAGATATATTTTTTAATTTATAATGCTGATATGATAATATTAAGTATTAAATTTAATGAATGGGATTTAAAAATAAAATTTAGTGCAGCAATATTTGAAGAAAATACCTCTTAAATTTATTTCAATGGATCAATGCGACAACGCATTGCCAGCCACTATTTATGTAAAATAAAAGGTTCAATTTGAAAATCATTAAAATTGTTTTGAGAAATAAAACTGCTGGAAGCTGTTGTCCGACGAGAAATATTCGCGTACGTGAGATATATGCAGAGTTGCTTATATATTAGGTTATTAGGATGGTATAGCTAGGTTACACTTATGTTAAGAGAAGAATTACAAAGGATATAATCTATGTATAACCTAATTGTACCCTCCGAATAACCTAATATATATGTAACTCTACGCACATCTTACATACACAAATATTTCTCGAGGAATGGAGTGGTATGGGTGTAAATCCCCCTATTTTTTAATAAATCATTATAATGAATTTAAGAAGACCAAAAAGCACAGAAAGCGAACTTTATTATCTGTGTCCTACAGGCCAGATGTCGTCCAGCTGTATGGGAAGATCCCACCGTTGGTTGCCTCATCCGACGGCTATTTTTTGCCCTTTCTGAGCTGTCTCCGGGCCCGCCCACTTGTTATTTTATCCTCAAATAAATTAATTTTTTATTTATTTATTTTCCCATATTCTATTTTCTTCTTTGATTTTTCTTAATGTTACGGATTAATTACTCGTAATTGAAGTATAGCCTTCGCATGCTTAAGTTGACCACAGGTAGATTAAGAATTAATGATCATTAATTAATGTCATTAGAGGACTGTTTATTGCCTCGTTTTACCGTTTTGCTGTTAATTGTGACGTCGACGGCCGAAATAGTAGCATATTTCCACTGATAAATTTCAGTTTAAAATAAATTTAGATTTGTTATTTATAGGTAATTAACGCGTTATATAAAGAGGAATTCAATTAATGATATTTTATGGATGTTTTGTCCTGATTTAAGATTAGAATTTTTTTGCATATGTGAAACAAATATTTGGTATTGAGCGAAATATTTTATTTTATTTATCAATAGTGTTATGTGTCGGAATATTACCGGCGATAGAATAAAAAGATTAGTGGCACTAGAATAATAATTTAACTTTTTAGTGTTGCACGAAGATCCAACACACACATATAATAATAAAATGCAGCAGGAGAATGCATCAAAATTTTTTTATGGAGAAAAATTTTCGATACACAATCGAAGTAATAGACTGTATAATTATAAGTTCATAAGTCTGCTCTTGCTCGAATTAGAAAAAATAAAATTATAATGTTGATAATCACAGATATATAATAGTAATCTAACTTTAATAATCGTAATTGAGCTACAACAAATATTGTTCGTGAAAATAATAGAGATGGCGAGCAACAAAGGACATAGTTTATTACTACAAAGATAATATTTTGTCATTAAGATTGTAGTCAGTGGTTGTAATAATCTCAGTTGGTCACGAAGATCATAGTTGGAAGATCTAGTAGTTGTTGGTCACATATACCATGGTTAGCAGCTGTCTGTAGTAGCAATTAACTATATATGTTATAGTTGTTCATATAGGCCGTGGTTGATAGTTGTAGTAGTAGCTAGTCATAGATCGTGTTAGCCACATAACAGTGGTCGACTGTAGTTGGAAGTTATCACTAGGTCGTTATTCCAGAACAATATTGTAATTTGAATCATTTGGTTCTTAAATTGAATCACAACATTTCTTATTAAAAAATAGTTTGAGATTTGTGTCAAATAATAAATTGTTTTGATGACACATCAAGTAGTATAGCCATTTTAAATGAGAAGGGCTTAAATAACCACCTTCTCTGTTAAAACAAATATAAATAAAAGCATGAAGGATTTGAGATGTTAGATATTATACATCTTTGAAATGTTGCAGGTGCATTAAATCTGTTAGACATTATACATCTTTGAAATGTTGCAGGTGCATTAAATAAAATAAAGAGCATTCGTATAAAAGAAAAAGTACCTTAAGGACTAGTAAATGTTGCATTTTCTTGATCCTTACGAGCAATAAAAATTTGATGATAACCAGTATATCCATCCAAAAATAAAAAATATTTGTGCCCAACTAGCTTATCTAACATTTGGTCCAGAAAA